TATTACCCTCTAGTGCATTCCTTTCCTGTAGGAGCCTTAATAAGCCAATGGCTATTAGAGTCTTCCTGAATCTTCGTACCAGTCACAGACTGCTGTCCAGACCCAGTACCGTATTTAAACATCGTGAGAATGCAATCTGACTTTCCATCTTCGTTCAAAAGCTTAACGACAGATCCACAAGTCACGTAAGTAGCCTTTCCAGCTGCAAACAAAAATTTCATTGCAAATATAGTATTTTACAAAAGACCACGTCAGCCATCAAATTGAAACATAACCTAGAATATTTAAATTGTGAATATATATTGCATTATGTGTAAAACGTACCGTGTGATATGTGAATTATGCAGGCTGTGTATAGAAGAAGTATTGGTGTTTATTTAAATTATACATAATTTTGGGTATTTTAAGAGATTTTGAAGGAAATTGAAGAGTTTGTTGTTCGTGGGCGCTTACAAAAGTGAATATGTCAAATTTTGACAAGTTTTGACATCTATTGATGAATTGAAGGATGATAAATGTCAGTTGGGAACAGAACCAAAAAAGTTATATGTCAAAATAATATTAAGATTTATATTATTTGATTAAATTAATTAATTAATATACTAAATTAACATATAATGTTTATAAAATTTGATCTTGTTTATAGTTTACGTACACATAGGTCTATGTGGCAATAATTTATTAATAAGTGTCAGTTTAATTTGAAACCTGTTATGAAAACTGTCAACACAACTGTCAATGAGTACAAACCACCAGCAAAACTTTAAATTATCAATATCTATTAGTTATTTTTATATGCCCGTGATCACATAATATTAATTATGTCTATATCTAATTAATTTGCAGATTTTTAGATAAAACTAATCCTAACCTCAAATATGAAACCTGTCAGTGAGAACTGTCAATCTTAGCATGTCGGCAAAAACATGTGAAGGTTAACCTGTAATCAAAGATGTTTTTAAATTTTTATCTTGATTTAGATTAAAATTTATATTCTAAAATATTTTTATAGTTTTTAATTTTTATTTACGTTGTTTTGTATAAATAAAAATTAACCATGAGGCGAGTACTTGCAGCATATCAAGCTATGTTGGCGAAACAGCCCTTTCTCACTCAAGTGGCTCAAACTAGTTTAATTATGGGAGTCGGTGATTTTATAGCCCAAAAATTCCTAGAAAAAAAGCCTTTCAGTCAGTATGAAATCAGCAGGACGCTTGGATTTTGCTTTGTTGGAGCCACAGTTGTCGTAAGTAAAATTCATATACATACATATCTTATAAATCAATTATACATGTATCTATTATTATTACCTTAGGCTCCATGGTTGACAGTCTGGTACAGAACTCTTCACCGTATAGTCAAACCTAGTAAGTTCGCCCCACTAAAAAATGCTCATGGATCAGATATTGATGGCCCCGAATTTCACCTTCGCCATTGTAACATCCCTGAATTTAGTAACAGGTAAATCGTTCCATCAAGCAATTGCAGAAACAAAAACTACCTATGTGGATATAATGAAAGCCAACTACTGTCTGTGGCCGTTTGCGCAATTGGTGAACTTTTATATGATGCCTTTGAATTATCAAGTGCTGTTCGTGCAGGTTGTTTCGGTGGGGTGGAATTCTTATATATCTTATAAAACGCAAGCTAAACATGAAAAGAAATTAAATGTTGGGAAATGGTAGAATGAGATGGCTGTGACGTGATCTGAATTTGTTGAGATTCTGTGCCATGTACAGGAAAATATAGATTTTGAATGATTTTCAGATAGATGTTTTATTAAATTGTAGACTTTTTTTATTTTAAATTATCATCATCCATTACAACATCACATTGATATCATATTGATATATTTTCAATTGTACATGTTACAGATAATTAAAACTTTTTAAATTTCTTTCTGGTTATTGTAAATATGTTTGATTTTTTTTAATTATAAAAAAAATATAGTATAAGGTGGTATTGTAGTGTGGAAAATCAAAAAGATTGTTTTTTTCTTTCAAGAATACATATACGAGAGGATTTTTTTAAAAATTGTAATTATTTTTGGAAATTTAGCTGTTTGACTATGATAATCTTCTTCCGTTTCCTTCTTTTAAATGCGTTTTTCTCAAAACTGTTTTTATCAATACATTGTCCACGATTTCTCAAGTTCTACTGGACCAATTTACTTGAAATTTTCAGAGAATCTTCTTTATAGACTTCTCTCTCGCAAATACTAGCCTCATCACCAATTTTCTATTTTCACTATTTAAAAAGTTTGAGAAACAAAAAAGAAATTGAAGCTTTTTTTTAAACAGTAGACATTATGTTAAAAATATTTTTAACTTAATCCTTGTATATGCCATTACTTTCATCATTCTAAATTAATAATATTTTTTTTATTTATTTCATGATCAATTTTTTGAGACACCCACTTAAACAAAAGCTAATTTCTAAACTTTTTTTATGTTTTAGGTTTTTTCTGTACTCTTGTAATGTTGATAGATAAATTATAAAAACTAGTTGGTTTGGTATTTAGCCTTGTGGCAAGTTACATGAACTTCCCGATATGTGTAAATAATCGACTTAATCAAAAAAAAAAAGTGTAAATAATATACTTTATCAATCCTACTTTAAAAAAAACGATAATAATTTAACAAAGTTTGATGACGAATTTTAAAATTAAACTACTTGTCGTAAGACCGTAATATTACAGTAAGTTCTATAAGACCATGATATATAATGCCAAAAAAAGTTCCATGAAAATCGGCCTAAATTTTTTTTTTCAACAGTTAATTACAAGAAAACGGCCCGCCGATCTCTACCAAAAAACTAATCAGCACGATTCCCAACCAATATCTTTCGAACGGTTTTTGAATTTTCAAAATCGATTCAGAATTGCGGGCTAAAACGTAGACGAAAATTTTTTCACTTTTTTGCGATTTATAAAGAAACGGCTTGGCCGATCGTCGCACAAAACTGATAAACGATAGTCCTGGTCGAGATACATCGAGTGGCTTTTAAATTTTTGATATCGGCCCAGCCGTTTTCGAGAAAATGTCGATTTACGGCAAAAATCTGTTCACATACGCACACACACACAACCACACATACTATTCCCTTAAATTTGGTCTCATCCGATTCAGAATGGTTTGAAACGTCGAGAAAACATAAAATTAGCGAATCGGATTTTTTTATGAAAACATAAACTTCTCCTTCGGGATGTTAAAAATGATAATAAAACATTGAATACTTCTTTTTTACGATGACTTAAAAATTACTTAAAATTCATGTCCCTACACTAGAATAACCCCTTAATAAGTTGACCATTTAAAAATTTTTTTTAATGGATAATTTGGAATTCTATTATTAATTAAAAGTTATACACGACTTGTAATATTCTTTCAAGCATAATATTTAACACAGAAAGAAATATAAGTAAATCTATATTATCATTTATATTCCATGACATTTTGTTCGATCAATAATAATACCAAACCATTTTTTAATAATCATATATTTGTATTTGTTTTATAAATATATATACAGGTACAAAGTGCAACTAGTGTAAAAATCAAAAAATATATCTAAATAGTTTGACTAGAATAACGACTAGACTATAGCAATATATTAAAAAGTATATAAAAATATTTTTAAAACAATTTTATAAAATCCGACAACTCTTCTTGGTACTTAATAATGTCGTCTGAAGTGTTTAAACGATATTTCTTTGATATTTTGTGAACTTCTATGCGATTCTTAAGGGATATTATCTGAAAAAAAAAACCACACATTAGCAGAAATAAATTTTATATTAATATTTTTTCTACTGACCAGATAATCCCTGTCCATCCTCCGACACATCTCAACATCCTTAATTTTCTCTTTAAAATCACCTTCGCACACAATTTCTTGTTTCACTACATCCAATATCCACAAATGTGTATTTTTTATGGAAAACAAAAGTCCAGGATGGCTCGGAGAGCTTTTTATGTAACATTCATTCGGTTTTGGTCGACTTTGGTGTAAATTTGTAGACATTGTAATTTTGATTATGGGCTTTGGATGGAATTTTTTGAATATGAAAATGTTCTCTGTGCATAGGAGCGAGAACCAGGGTTGTTTGTTGGGGTTTGAGCATAGATGAAGGGGAGTATCTGGAATGGATAAATGGTTAAATGATATATATATATATATATATATATATATATATTGTATGATTCTGAATTTGATGTTGACATATGTATTAACAAAGTCTAATAATCGGGCATAATATCAATAAAAAACATGAATTTCTTTCAAAAATTTATTTTAATCCATACGTTTCGGCTATAATCGTAGCCTTCATTCAGTGGAAACTAAAAATAAAATTAAAAACTAAAACAATTGAATTGGAGTGAAAAGAAAAAATTAAATAGTAAATAGTACTTACAATTTGTTAATCTTAGTGTTAAATTGGAAGATTTTAATAATCCATGGTATCAGAGGATATGGTAATGCACTACACCATGTATTATAAACATTAACTTGAAATTACACAATATTTTCACAAAATACTAATTTAAAAAATCACAATTGGATAGTATGTTGTTCGTAGACTGGTTGAAGATATAATGGAGAAAGGACTTTTTAAAAAATATTTTTTACTAAGATTCTACACATGTGTGGAACGAATTGCGAATCCTTTGCGCGAACGCTTTTATTGTTTTATGAGAAATTTGGAAATGGTATCTAAATAGAAGAGATTTGTGTCGCACAGCGTGTTGAGTTCATTCCGTTTATTTATTGTCTTATTGATATAAATAGCTAAAAAAGATCCTTCTATAATTCTTCGTTTAAATAAATTTTGTTCGAATTGTAGTACAGTCGGGTTAGAAAAGTCCATATTGTGTTTTAAAGTATAAATATGCTCTGCAATCATAGTTTTAAATTGTCTCGGATTTTTTAAATTGTTTTTATGCTGTTGTAAACGTTTCATTAAGTTCTGGTTTGTTTCTCCTATGTAAATTAAATTACAATCTAGACAATTAATTTGATAGACGAGATTTCTAAGTCGTTCGATATTAAAAGGGGTTTTTGTTTTGGTAAAAATAGTACTAGTCGTTGCCTAAAATTGGTTACAAGTCGGAGTCCAGATTTATAAAAAAGTTATATATTTTTTTTAGATTTTTTTCCAAGGAACATACAATTCTTTGATGTATGGCAAACATATTACACCAGAATGAGTTTCTGAGTCAGGTAAATCGTTATGTACTGTAGAATTGTCCATTTTGTTCAAAAGGTACGTTCGTCTGTTACTAGTAACGGAGTTTATAAGTTTTAAGGGATATTAGTTATCTGTTAGAATTTTTGTAATTAAATTGATGTTGTTGTCCCAAAATGTTTTGTCCGATAGAAGTATTGCGTGGTCAGTTAGATTTATTATAGTACCTATTTTCATTTTGAGTGGATGATAAGAAAAGTAATTAAGGTAGCGTCCAGAGTTAGTTGGTTTTTGGTACCAATTTGTTATTAGTTTGTTATCGGGAGTACGTATAAGTTCTTTATAAGGATCTTTTTTAACTATTTATAACAATAAGACAATAAATAAACGGAATGAACTCAACACGCTGTGCGACACAAATCTCTTCTATTTAGATAACATTTCCAAATTTCTTACAAAACAATAAAAGCGTCGCGCAAAGGATTCGCAATTCGTTCCACACATGTGTAGAATCTTGGTAAAAATATTTTTAAAAATGTCTTTCTCCATTACATCTTCAACCAGTCTACGAATAACACACTATCCAATTGTGATTTTTGAAAATCAGTATTTTGTGAAAATATTGTGTAATTTCAAGTTAATGTTTATAATACATAGTGTAGTGCATTACCATATCCTAATACCATGGATTATTAAATTTTCCAATCTAACACTAAGATCAACTAATTGTAAGTACTAATTACTATTTTATTTTTTTCTTTTCACTCCAATTCAATTGTTTTAGTTTTTAATTTTATTTTTAGTTTCCACTGAATGAAGGCTAGGATTATAGCCGAAACGTATGGATTTAAAATAAATTTTTGAAAGAAATTCATGTTTTTTATTGATGTTATGCCCGATTATTAGACTATGTTAATACATATGTCAACATCAAATTCAGAATCATACAAAATATATATATATATATATATATATATATATATTAATATTATTATCTATCAATTATCTCACCATTATCGAAAGAATAATACTGAAATCGATCATCCCAACTGACATTACAAGCAACAACATACTGTGAATGTTTTGCAAAGACATAAACAAGTCGAGGATCAGTGGCATCTAAACACATATTACAATACTCCAAATCCATATTCGAATCATTCAACATATTGTTGAAGTCCTTTTTATTTGTATCATTGAAAAGTGGTTCTTGGTTTTCTAATAACTGTTCCAATTTATTGCTCTTCAACGGTTTTATTTTCAACGTGTGGCTGTTGAATAGACGGACGTTGCTTTGTAGAGATAGGCCAGAGGAGTCTTTTGATAAATTTAGTTGATTGAGAGTGGTTTGTTGGTTTTTGACGATTGTCCAGATGGAGATGTAGCCGTATTTGTAAAGGACACAGACCTGGATAAAAAATTATATTATTTGAAAAAGTTGCGGGTCACAATGTTCGTTTGCAATCAGTTAGCTATTTTCGTACTAAACATTTTACACTAGATATATTGTTTATGGCAGAACAAGGTTTGCAGGGTCTGCTAGTATATATATATACACATATATAAAAATAAGTCGGGTTTTCTTTCCTGACGAAATAACTAGAGAACGCACGAACCGATTTCGACAATTTTGCATTCGTTGGGAGGTCTCGGGCTCCGCAAGGTTTATAGCTAAGAAAATTAGTTGTGCATGGCATCGTGCCTTAATGCAAGCTGCTGGAACTTCACGCACCGTAATTAAAAATTCGAGTAATGACATTAGTGAGAATTATCAGAATTATGCTTGGTTAAGTCAACGAGCAATTCTTGCCGCAAAGAATAATGATGTACACGCACTGAATTTCACCATTCAATTAAAAATTTCTGGCGATTTGGTGACATACCAATGATTCCGACTGGTCTTCCGTTTGACTTCAAACGATTGCAATTTCCAGTTCGCCTTGCGTTCGAAATAACAAGTCGCAAGGCCAATCGCTCAGTGTTTGCGGGATAAATTTCAAATAGATTTTTTAGAAAATCATTGTTTTTCACATGGGCAGTTATACGTTGCCTGCTCACGAGCTGAAAAACTATCCGCTTTGTTTGTGTTAACGTCAGACAAAAAACAAAAAATGTGGTTTACCAAAGAGCACTTCAATGAAACGGATAATTTGCGGATACACTTTCATTTACTTAGAGAAGTTCAACTTAAAAACACTTCATTTTTGTAATCGAAATAAATTCATTACTGTTATATAAAAAAATCAAATTTTTCCTTTTCAAATATAAAACAAACAAAAAATTTCTTCATCTTTTTCACGAAACCATCTGGTGGCGAAACGGAGTTCGTCGGGTTTGCTAGTATATATATATATATATATATATATATATATATACCTGTGTATTAATATCATACTCCGTATCACTCATAAAAGTTATCTGTGTGATGGAACCACGCTCAGAATTCTCTTCCATTATAACCTGACTCGGTAACTTTATATTTCTGTTAAAAGTTTCATCAAATTTACTTGTGTTTCATCTAAATCCCAACATAGTAAAGATCTAGAAAAACAAAATATTTACTACTAAAATGATATTAATAATACTTTATAAGTTATTCAAATTATTTTACCCGTCGTTGCATCCAGCAACTAGAACATAATTATCTATAAAACTGCAGCAATTAATTGCTGATTTTGAGTTTAAAATGTATTTTGGACTTGAAATGTCTTGTATGTGCCATATGCAGATGTAACTATCCGATTTAGTCCTTCTGAAAACAAAACACACAATTGTGCAATTTTAAGAATCATTTCGTCTTCTAGTTTTTTTATAATGAAATTATTTTCCATTATTATTGTACTTTCAAATGAAAAACGAAATTTGAGAAACTATTCAGTAGTTGTTTTTCATAGCAATTAAAACAAATCTGCCTGACCCTATATAAAAATTTGTGTACTATATTTTTTTTTAATTGATTTTTCTTGAACTTCATTGCATCATTTATTTTATATTTAAATGAAAACAATAACTAGAGGTGTATGGCATTGTGCCTTAAGGCAAATTGCTAGAACTTCCCGCATCATAATGATATATTCGAGGAATAAAATTTAGAAAAAAAATACTATGTGAAAAAAAAAATCTTTCCCGCAGAAACAATCATTTTGTCAACACAAGCAAAATAAGCAAATCTGATGTTTATTGAATTATTCAAATCGGTTGACCCTTGTTCCCGAAATCATCGAAACTTTGTATCAGCACACACACCCATACATCCATTTTTTCTAAGGTATGCCAAAATGTTCAGAAACGTTTGAAACGTAAAGATATATAAAAATTTTCGATTTTTTTGAGAATATATTCAGTAGTCGTTTTTCACAGCATTTTCAAAAAAAAATCTGGCGGACGCTATATAAAAATTGGCGTACTATTTTTTTTAATTTGTTTTTGAACTTCTATATAACGATGCATTTTATTTATTTTATATCCTAATATTTTTTTTTTCAAAACCAAATATTTAAATTAAAACTATAATAAACTAACTAGGGAACAGATTTCTAATTAAATCTTTCAAATATATTTATAATATCTGTATCATTTTCATAAAATATTTTATTAAATTAATTAATTGATTTATTTATTAACTTTCCGTAGGGTAAGTTATAGTAATCGTCAAAAAATCGAAAATGAAACTTTTTGCATATCTTCACGTTTCAGAGGTTTCTGAACATTTTGGCATACCTCAGAAAAAATGGATAAGTTTGTGTGTGTATGTATGTATGGATACAAATTTCTAGTCGCGTTTTCGGGCGCGATCAACCGATTTGAATGGTTCAAAAAACATTTAATTCCTATTGATAAGGAGACGTGCTGATTAGTTTTTGGCGAAGGCAGGTCCAGCAGTTACGGAGATAAAGAGCAAAGAGTGCAGAAAATAGAAATCGAGTTTTTGAGAGAACGGAGCATCCGATTTGAATGATTCAAAAAACATTCAATTCGTAGTGATGTGGAGACGCGCTGATTAGTTTTTGACCAAGGGAGGTCTAGCTATTTTGGAGATACGGAGATAAATATGCAAAAAATGGCAGTTTTTGAGAGAACTAAGCATTCGATCGAATGAATCGAAACGAAACTATTGCTTTTGGCGAAAGATTTTTGTTTTAGTTTTCAAAACATATTTTTTTTCAATTCATAAGCTCTTATATTTTGTTCTAATAAGAATAATCTAAGTTACAGTATTTATAATAATCTATTTGAAAACATTCAATATTCCTCGAATATGCCACGAATATTTCATTAAGGTACGGAAAGTTCCAGCAATTTGCCTTAAGGCGCGATGCCATACACCACTAGTTTATTTATTAATTTCAAATATCAAATATTAGACTAAGTTAAAATTATATTTCAATGAATAGTTGAAATTCTAAAATAATTACGAGTGCTTGCCATGTTATCTGAGCCTTGCACAACGCTTTCTCATACATTTTTACTTAGGCTCGGTACGCATGGTAAGTGTTACTTTAATATTTTTGTACAAATGTATTTAATCAGTTATTGACTTCACGAAAAAATCTGTTTTGCTAATTTTTTGTTTATTCGATGTTTCAAGTCATTCTGAATCGAATGAGAGCAAATTTAGAAAAAAATCCATTAAATAATAAATATAATTACAGATAATTTAAATGTCATTGAGAAAATTCTATTCGAAATCACAATGTTTAGATTTAGTTGAAAGCGATAACTTTATTTTTGAAATAAACAGTTGAAAATTTCTCTAAATATCTAAATTTCAATTTCGGTTTATTAAGTCAATTATTACACATTTCGGAGAGTTCATACAACTTGCTTTGAGGCAAAATGCCACTTTCGACTAGTTATTTATGAAATTTTTGATATATTCTATTACTATTATTTACCTTATATCGATATCATCCCCAGAACCCAAATCCAAAGCATTGCGCCTCTCGTTTTTCAAATTGACTTCATTAAAAGCTGCTGCCAAAAATTTGTTGTTGTTTTGAAAACACAAACAACTGGCAGGAATTCCTTTGAATAAATCTTGGTGCATTTTATAATATCCTTCGCTAAAATCCAGGTTTTCTTTATTGTGCTTCAATTTCGGCTGCAACTGTTCTTCTAAACAAGACAGAACTTCTTTTGCGGCTTTTCTTAGGAAAGTATTCAGTTTGGGAAAGTCTACGGGAAAGTCCCGATTTAAGGCGTTATCAGTTTCGGTGATGTAACGAGGTATGGGGTAAAGGTCATCGATGTTCATATCTTGATTTTCTTGTATTTGTAGCGATTCCTGGTGAAGACTATTGTCCATGAATTCTTTGTAAGTTAAAGGTTGCATTTCGACGTAATGGACAACAATATCATCACCTAATGATGATTCTTCAGTTAAAAGATCACTTTTGGGATTGGATTGTTCAGCAAATCCTTCATCAACCACGTTGTCGGTTTCGTTGATGTCTGTTAACGTAGGTGGTGAACTTAAAGTCGGTTTAGAAGGCAAATCAAAATTACCAGAATCCAATTTACGTTCCTCGTCTTGGGTAAAAACTTTTGACGCACCAGAGTCTTTAAAAGTACCATCTTTATTAGATGCGTTATCCTTAGAACTATCTAAATTGTTATTAGATGATAAATTTTCGTTATCTTCCTCCTGGTCGGTCCCAGTTATGTCTTCTTCCTGGTTTTCTGGTGAACTGGAGCTACAAGATTCGAAATCTGATTCGTAACTTTCAAAATCGTCCTCGTAGTCGTAATTTTCGTCATCGTTTGGATAATTTGTTAAAGATATTTCTGCATCCGGGTTGTCCAAGTCGATGGTGTAGCTTATATTTTTTAGGATCTTTATTTCGTTTGTTTCCAGGATCAGGGTTTTTTCACGCTTCAGTTTTTTAGGTGCAAAGATAGAAGACTCTTCGGTGTTGGTACGGAGAGATTCTGGTGTTGGTTTTGAAGAAGAAGGCACTTCTGTGTTATCTGAGGACGATTTTGACTTAGAAGATACTTTTATATTGTCTCCAAAGGCTTCTGGTATCGATTTTGTCTTAGAAGACACTTTTATGTTGTCTCCAAGATCTTCTGGTCTTGATTTTGTCTTAGAAGACACTTTTATGTTGTCACCAAAAGCTTCTGGTGTCGATTTATACATAGAAGACACTTCATTATAATTTTGTGACAAATCTTCAACCAAAGAGTTCTGTTTCGAATGAACAGGCGACTGTACAGTAACATTTGTATGAGTAGCCATAACTCTATCTTTTTTCTTCGACGAACTGACTTTTGCATCACCATTTTTCAATTTATCAGCTACGATACGTTTCTTTTTATCTAAACCTGTTTTATCATCGACTTTAGGTTTAACTAACTTAGTTTTTGTTGCATTATAAGGCACTTGATCAACGAAAGAGTTTTCTTTTGAGTTTATTGGTACTTTTGCATACTTTTTATCTGCTTGCACGTTTTTAATTTTACTTGTATCAATTTTCTTACCTTCTACCTTTGTTTTAGAAACATCTTTATCTTTATCTTTATCGAGTCTTGTTTTAGAACCGTTTTGTATAATAGATTTACTAACTTTTTCCTTTTTTTGCAGATCTGTTGTTGTTTTCTCCTTTTGTGATGTGGATTTTTTGTTGATACTTGTTTTGTCGACATTATTTGTGGAGGAATCAAACAATTGGGTTTTGCTTGTACCGGTTGATGTTTTTTTGATTGAAGTTTTTGAATCGAGAAGTTTTTTTTGAGTTTTGTCAATTTCAGATGTAGTCTTTTTTCTTTCTCTTTCAGAGTTTTTCTGAAAGGACATATAAGATTACATCTAAGATATATATATATATATATATATATATATATATATATATATATATTAGATAGGTTTAAAGATCAGTCGTTACATCAATAAAAAATAGTATGAATGCATTTTTAAAAAAGTGACTTATGGGTTTAAAACCCATACGTTTCGTCTAACATCATAGCCTTTATTTAGTGGAATATACTATCAAAATTGGGTATTCTTAATTAATTAAAAAATATTGCTCCATGGTGCATTTCTAGCTCAAACTCAAAACAGTATAAAGTTTTGATAACTTAATAAATATTATATATGTTTATTTGTGTGTTCTGTTGTAATGTCTAAATATATATATATATTTTACAATTTTAATACAATGGAGCATTAGTGAAGGAAAATAAATTTCTATATTTATAAATTTTAGTAAATAAAATAACAAACATTTAAATATATTTTTATTACATCGCACCTTTTCCATCACTCTTTATTATAACAATATTTTTAAACTACACCACACATTTTACACACTAATTATAATTAATAAATTAACTAATCAATAATTATTCATTATGAATGTATATAATTTAATTCAAAGAAATATCGACTTAACATTTGACATTGACAGTAATGATTTGACATAACAGCGCAGACATCTTGAGATAAAAATATGGCGGGGTTTTTGAATTTTACATTTATATAATTACATATATAAAAATTATAATAAATGTATTTATATGTTATGTAAATGTAGTTATATGTTATAATTAAAAGTATATTTAAAGTGTTTTATAAATAATTTGATATTAAAAAATGAGTAAATGAATAGATTGTTAAAAAGTGTATGAAATCACATACAAATCTGGGTTGTTTTAACAAATTAAAGTATTTGTATTAAATATATTATTAAGGCATATTTGAACTAAATAAAGGTATTTATAATACATTTTGCCTCAAATTTAATTAGTAACGTACTGTTTTACATTAGATATACATAATTATTTTAAATATTTCAAATTTCGCGCACATAGCTCACGACATGCAGCTAACTTAACATTAGTTGAGAAATGTCAAAATGCAAACTGTCAACAAACAATAAAAATTATTATTAAAATTCACATTTTAATCACAATTAATGTCTAGTTTCTAAACCACAAGGAATATACTTATAAATATATTTATATAAATATAAGGAACTGAATAATCTTTGATATTTGGTTGTTTGGGTATTTATGTTGTACAATTAATATATCCTTTACCCTAAAGTCTACATATATTATCAACCATGGGTAAAGCAGAAGTAGGTACCCCCAAGTACATAGCCAACAAAATGAAGGCCAAAGGCCTCCAGAAGCTCCGATGGTACTGCCAAATGTGTCAGAAACAATGCAGAGATGAAAACGGTTTCAAATGCCACACAATGTCCGAATCCCATCAAAGACAACTTTTAATCTTTGCTGATAACTCACACATGTACCTAGATCAATTTTCAAAAGAATTCTCTGACGGCTTCTTAGAACTTCTGAGAAGACAATTTGGAACTAAACGAGTGGCTGCTAATAAAGTGTATCAGGATTATATATCTGATAGGAATCATTTGCACATGAATGCTACAAAGTGGTTGACATTGACGGGGTTTGTCAAGTGGTTGGGGAGGGAAGGACATTGCGTTGTTGATGAGACTGAGAAAGGATGGTTTATTACGTATATTGATAGGGATCCGGAGACGATAGCTATGCAGGAGGCTTTGGCTAAGAAAGAGAAAATGGACAAGGATGACGAAGTAAGTAATAAAAATAATATAATATATGTGTATGTTTACTAAATTTTTGTTGTTTTAGGATCGTGAAAGAGACTTTTTGGCTAAACAAATTAAAAGAGGCAAGAAACAAGCAAAAAGCACAGACGAAGTAGTTTATACTGAATTAAAAAGAGATGAAGGAGACAAACTTAGTTTAAATTTGAATTTAGCAGAAAAACGCAAAACTGAACCAGTAGGTTTGTGTTATAAACATAATTATATATGCATACATATATAAATAATAATAATTTGTTGTATTAATTAAGGTATTTATGTTTGCAGAGATAAAACCTTTATCAAAAGCATTATTGACTACATCAGAATTTTCAAGAAAACGGGCAAAATCAGTTAAAGATGAACCATCAAGTTCTAAACGATTATCAGCTTTAGATGAAATTATAAAAATGGAAGAATCAAGAAAGAAACGGATACGGAAAGATCATTGGCTTGCTGAAGACATAATTGTTAAGGTAGTAAAGTAATTAGTATTAAAATTAAACAAATGTTGAATAATAATTGATTTATTTATTTATTTGTGTATTATAAGTTATAAATTCCTTCAATTTTGCTTTCGGTGTGTGCACATAGCATTTATTACTCTTCTTGTTGTCTTTATATTGACAAATTGGGTAAAAATAAATGTATCATGAAAAATATTAGAAAATTTTCAAGATTGATATTAGTACTTGCATTATACATAATATTTTAATTATAAAGGTTTTAAAGAGTTTAAAGTATTTTTCCAAGTATATGTAATATTACATATTTATTTTATCAAATAATATTTTAATTATAAAAGTACTAAGTGTAATATGTAGTAATATTATGTATTTATTTTAATATTTCTGTATTTGTAGGTTGTTACTGAAAGTCTTGGAGAGAAATATTATAGAAAAAAAGGTGTTGTTGTGAAACTTATAGATAAATATTCAGCAAAAGTAAAAATGCTTGATACTGCAGATAGCTTAAAATTAGATCAGGTGATTATTTGACTCAAACTGCTACTTCTCTTCAAATTTATATGTTTAACTATTTTATATTTATATTTATATGCTTTATTTTTTCTTAATCTATGTCTTTTATTAGGCTCATCTAGAAACAGTAATTCCAGCGATAGGAAAGCCAGTTTTAATTTTAAACGGAGGCTATGCAGGAAACAAAGCTATTTTAACTTCACTAAACGAAAGAAAATTCAGTGTTTCTGTTGAATTGATGTCAGGTCCTTTGAAAGGCCGAAAAGTCGATGATATTCCTTATGAAGACATTAGTAAGCTCAGTGATTGTTGAGAATTGTTTGTAATGATAAGAAATAAATTTATTTTATATATATACATAGAGGAATTTGAAGAAATGAAGAAAATAATTAAATTTAAATTTTATTACAGTAGTAACATTAATTCAAAAGATGAGTGAAGGTTAGGTTGCAAGAAGTCTTTGATGTGGTTCTAATAAGATATTTACACAGCTGGTGATGAAAAATTGTGCCCCAGGACAAGAAAATATGCTTTTTGCTTTAGATTCTAAAGACTAACCAGATGCACAAGAGATTTCATTAGTTTTATGACATACCTTATTTTAACATGTCTTGATGTATGCTGGTCATTAACCTAAGGAAACTATTTTAATCAATGCAGGGACAAAAGTTGTGGAGTTATTTTTGGTACAATACTAAAGCAGTTTTGTTTACAAACATTATTTGGCAAATGTAATTTAATCTGTATGTTTCGAAATGTTTTGAAATTCGAGCTAAAAATACGAACTGCAAACTGTTGCTGACTTCACATTGGAAAGCTGTCAAGAGTTGCGGTTACGGGGGATAATTTAAATAAAAAATACTTTCTGAGTATTTGTTAGTATGATAAAAGAATAGATAAGTGCAATATAATAAGTTATTAACAAATTAATAATATTATATGCCATTTTAAATGTTTAAATACTATTTATTACAATTTCGTTTTCAAATTAAGCGCCCAATTTCGTTCCACCGTCCACTTCACCTTTAACATCTTCACAAAAGTCAAAATGGCCGCGCACTCGAAAACCTTCTGTCGTAGAAAGATGTGATATCACGATCATGTTGCTTTGTGTTTGATTTAATCCTTGAAATCGTACCAAACTATTATTTAATGTTCGTCTATATGCCCCATTATCGTGAAATATTATCCTTAAAGATCGAGGGGGCCGTGCCCGCGAGTGCTTTCGTGTTGTACAATGATGAGAATGGAAACTGACAAGATGATGGAGGATTCTAACAGTAATTCACAGGTATGAAGGAAAATCGATTTTTGGGGGCGAACTGGGTCAGAGGGATATTAAAGAGTTTGTTAAAATAAAGGAGATTTTGTTGTAATTTGTGGATGTGGGGTTGGTGGATTCAGTTTTTGACGTTAGGCAATATGTGGAAAAGGGCGGTGAAAGACTTGGGTTTTATTTGTAATAGAAAAATTTTTCTAGCAAATAATATTTTTGCAAAATATAGTCAGATTTAATGTCCTGAAGGCTTTGTATTGATTCATATAATTTGTGGTTTCAAAAATCAATATTTGGTGAAATTTCACTTTGTTGATTACCACTACATATGAAAAGTAAAAGTTACATTTTTAAAATCTATAAATATTATTAAAATATGGTATCCTGGTTGCTTAGAAGCCCTATTACTATTTTGAGCACAGGCTTTTGTTTTTTAAGTTCTTTTTTAAGCTCAGGATTCACAATTAGATTGTTGTTTGTTTGATTACAATTGTATTGATCAAGCTGTGTCGTGGTTTCCAAAATTCCATATTGCATTATATTAGTCATAAAAATATATAAAATGGATTCGATAATAGTTCTCATGATACTATTTAGATTGCTTTAGAACTACATTTTTTCATGTCGAAGGATTTATTTTGCTCTTTATTGCAGAGGATATTAGATAGAAAAATTGGTTAAGTTATGCTCGATAACAATTGTTGATATAAACTGTGGTCAGATTTAATACTCTGGGTGTTTTGGCTTTAATTGTGTAATTTGTGGTTAAAAAATTCAGTATCTGTCTAAATTTCACTTTATTGCTCACATCTGCATATAAAAAGTAAGTCACATTTTTAAGACTTAATAATAAATATTATTAAAATATTGCATTCAAGTTGCTTAATAGCTTTACTATTATTTTATCAGTCATAAATATATATACAAAAGGGCTCGATAATAGTTCTTGTGATACAGAAGATATTTGTAGTTAGATTGCTTTCGAACTGCATTTTTTCATGTCAAAGGCTTTATTTTGCTCACTTAATTTTAAAAATTTATATTAGATAACAATTTTTGCTGTCATAAACTGTACTCAGATTTAATATTCTGGCTGTTTTGGCTTTAATTGTATAATTTGTGGTTAAAAAATTCAATATTTGCCTGAATTTTATTTTATAGATTACATCTATATATCAAAAATAAGTCACATTTTTAAGACTTATATATATTGTTAAAATATAGTACCCTTAGTTGCTTAATAACTTCATTTTTGATTCATTTATCTAGATTTTATTCAGATTGTTGTTCGATTACAATTTTATATAGATCAAGCTGTATTGTGGTTTCTAAAATTCCATATTGCATTATTGTAGTCATAAATTTATATTCAATAGGGCTCCAAAATAGTTCTCGTGATACTGATGCTGATATAAAGAATGTTTGTAATTTCTTTCCTTCACAACTGCATTTTTTCATGTCGAAGAATT